TGGTAAAAATGGTACCATAAAATGTAGTCGAGAGGGTCTGATGACAGACAGAAATTGTCATTGCTTTATTAATACATAAGATAGCATGTGGCATTCTACTTTTTATTCTTTCTCTTCTGAATATTACAATTAATCAATTCTTAATTGAGGCCCTTGAGATAGTCAGCATACCTTCTGTCAGACATACCATTCTACTTTACTGCTTTAGGTTTCAGATCAGGGCTTAACTTGTTACTTTATCTAAAGGCCTTTTTTTTTTTTTTAAATGGCAGAAGGGTAACCTAATTGCTATTAGATCTGTTTGTTTTGTGAGTTGAGTGGTTAAAATTTGATTTATCGAATGATCTAGTGCCTTTATTTGTTTATTTGGCATTTCCTTTCTATTCATAGATTTGTTTACTTAGAGGACATTATTTATGACTCCCTGATGCTAGCACTCCTTGGAAACCTTATGTAACATCACCATGAATCAGAACCAACTTGCCAGCACTTAACTATGATAACAAAAAAGCCCTACCTAGTCATTGGAGTACCAGTGTCATACTGTAGGATAAGTACTATACTGCTAACTGCTAGATCAGTGGTTCAAACCCACCAATTCCTTAGAAACTCTATCCACTGGTAATGAACAGTAACAACACACTTTTCATGAATAGCTGCTAATTAAACAAAAATGCTTCATTCAGAAATGTAACTGTTCACTCAGGCTGTGTGAAAACCAACATGTTGTTAAGTGCCAATGAGTTGATTCTGACTCATATTGACCATGTATAGGGTTTCAGAGGAGCAGCTGGTGAGTTTGAACCACCAGCAATGTGCTTCAAACAGACCTTGTGATCAAACTTATCCTACAGTGCCATAACAGGACTCCAAAATCCACCAGTTTTTATTGCTGTTGTTAAGTGCAATTGCGTTTATTCTGACTCATAGCAACCCTGTATAGGGTTTTCAAGGAGCAACTGGCGAGTTCAAACCACCGACTTTGCGGTTCAAACTAACCTTGCAGTGAATCACATTATCCTGCGGCATTCATAGGGCTGTGTTTATATGCTTTATCAGGTGACCCTCTCATGTAACAGTTGATTAATTTCAACAAAATTCAAACCCCTGATGTGAGTCTTAGCTTTTTTTTTGCAAGTATAAGCTTTTGATGCCCATATCAAATCTTTGAAAAATTTTGTCATTTCCTTGAATATATGGATTTATGACAGCCTGCAGGGACTTGATATTTATGGAAGATGGAAATTGGAATGAGCCATCAGTAACAAAATGAATTAATGTATGATATGTTTTTTTTTTTTTAAATCCATTGTAAATATAATTTAAAATGTTAAAACAAACACAGGAAAGTCTTGAGATCCTAACCTGAAACTCCTCTTCCTTCATGTGATAGATACACATTTTATTTTTTGAAGGACTTTATTATTCTTTTATGACATAAACCGTTTACTCTCATACTATTTATATTATTTACTTTATATTGATTTTTGGTGCTTTGAATTACTTACACTTGAGTTAGCTGTCCTATTACAAATACATTTTAAGGCTTAGAGTATTTTTAGTCTTTTGTTATGTGAGTTTTTATTATTATTATTCTTAAGTTTATGTTCTTCAGGGGGGAAAAATAATCTTGTTTGTTAGAATCAAGCTATTGTTATGTTTAATTCATTGTCATCTCAAACATGGCTTGTGTGTTCCCAGTGGTAAGGAGTCTTTTTCATAACCCAGTGCCTTTTATTTCCTTCCCCTATACAAAACATAATTACAGGCAGTCACACTACTTGAAATGCGATAGATAGATAGATAGATAGATAGATAGATAGATAGATAGATAGATAGATAGAATGGGTATATTAGAAAACACCCCTAGACAGAGAAAATAACCCCTACTATTAGGATTGGAATCTTGATGTGAAACTGTAGGATCAGCACTGGAGTGCAAACCACAAAGTTGGCAATTCAAACCCACCAGCTGCTCCTCAGAAACCCTATAAAGGGTTGCTTTGACAGCACTCAGCAACAGCAATAATAGGTATGATTTATTTTTACCTTTGATACTGCTGACTGGTTGGACTTGAGCATGAGTAAGAAGAAGGTGTTTTTGTTGAGAATTGTATTTGTGGCATATGAAAAATCCGGTTAGGTCATAAAATGCAAGCTTTCTCCTGGGAACTGGAACCTGATGACTAGGATAGGTCTTCCAGTCGTTTCAGTAATTCATGATCCCCCACCAGTAAACCAGATGCTATCAAGTCAGTTGTGACTCATGGTGACCCCTGTGTCTCAGAGTAGAACTTTACACCATAGGTTTTTCAATGACTAACTTTTTCTTTTTTTTAAGTTTTTATTGTGAATTGAGTGATGGTTTACATGGGAGAACTTCGGTTTTATACTCATCGTTTCGTTGCAACGGTTACAATCTCCTCCATGCATCACCATTCAATAGTATTTGCTTTTATTACCTGTTTTTTTTTTTTTTTTTTGTTATTTGGGGAGGTATACACAAAAACACTCAGGAATATGTAAAAATTTAAAATAACCAAAGGGCACATTCTGTAATCCTGCCTCCTGGCCACCAGCACAATGACTAACTTTTCCAAAAGTCTTTGGGTGGATTCAAACTTCAAATAAGATGGTGAGCAGGGAAGCAAGTTGTACTACCCAGGAACTTCCCTTTCTCCAGTTTAGACCTAAAGACTGACTTGATCCCAATGGAAATAGCACTTTTGATGTTATTGACATTCTCGCTTTCTTCATTCTTTCGCTGAAGTGGCCTTAGGGCAGTACAAGATATCACACATCTTAGTCATCTCCGTATTGCTCAGCAGTCACATGGTTGTTATTGTGAAGTGCAGATGAGTCAGTTCTGGCCCATAGAGACCCTGTATAGGGTTTCCAAGGAGCAGCTGGTGAGCTTGAACTGCCAACCTTGCAGTTCAAACGGCTTTGCAATCTGGCGCATTAACCCACAGCGCCACACCAGGACTCCCAGTCAAATGGTTGTTATGTGCCGTGGAGTCGGTTCCTACTCATAGCGACCCTGCACAGGGTTTCCGAGGCTGTTAATCTTTACGGGAGCAGAACGCCTCATCTTTCTCCCGCGGAACCGCTGGTAGTTTCGAACTGCTGACCTTACGGTTCGCAGCCCGATTCATAACCACTACGCTACCAGAGCTCCTTAGTCAAATGGTAGTGCTCTTGATTTTGTGTATTCTGGCTTTAAGACTTGTTAAAAGTAGTGACAAGGCAGAGAAGCAAAGTCTTGGTCCATGCATTGTTCCCTTTTTATTTTACTTTTCTTTGCTGAGTTCTAAAAGTTGGGGAGAATCATATCTATCTTTTGCACTAGATATGATTATAGGCCCTAAAGTACATGCTTATAGCTATTTTAATGATTTGATTATTCTCAGCTTTATTAGCATAAATTCATAGTACATGGGAGCAAGGGGTTGTTGGAGGGCAGAGATATACACAAAGTAGACAGAGCAAACTCACATTTCTTAGATGATGTAGTATGTTTGTGAGACATTAGAGGAAACCCTATCCAAGAATACCAGGTAATCTCCAAGCTGTCATTGGTAAAGAAAGAGGATAATATGGAATTTTATGGAGTTGTCCTAAAAGTGAACACCCATTATCAACACTACCATCATTGGCAAACATTTTTTGAGAGAGCAAACTCTAAAACCCACCAGTTTTCCAAGTTTCAAAGCAGGTTGGAGCACTCACTGGTAGCAAGAGTAAATCTTGAGATTAGCCCTTTACTACATAGATATTTAATTCCAGGTCTCTCAGCAAAGGCAGTCAGATTGAAAATTGCAGTTAGAAAGTTCCCTTGTAATTTTTACTTCTCTAATAACACTGGTTTTTAAAGTGTTGAAGAGCAAAGATGTCAGCTTGAAGACTAAGGTACGCCTGACCCAAGCCATGGTATTTTTAATAACCTCATATGCATGCAAAAGCTGGACAGTGAATAAGGAAGACCATAGAAGAATTGATATCTTTGAGTGTGGTGCTGGAGGAGAATATTGAGAGTGCCATGAGCTGCCAAAAGAACCAATAGATCTGTTTTGGAAGAAATGCAGCCAGAGTGCTCCTTGGAGGCCAAGATGACCAAATTTTGTCTCTCATACTTTGGACATATTGTCAGGAGGGAGCAGTCTCTGGAGAAGGATATCATGTTTGGTAAGGTGGAGGGTCAGAGGAAGAGAGGTAGACCCCCAATGAGATGGATTGGCCAAGTGTCAGCATCGATGGAGTCGAACGTGGCAACAATAGTGAGGTGGGCCCAGGATCGGGCAGTGTTTCATTCTGCTGTGCATAAGGTCACTATGGGTTGGTATTGATTCGATGGCACCTAACAACAACAACAATAACACTGGAGGTGTGCCGAGCTGTTATTTTTGTTGTTAGCTGCCATCAAGTTAGTTCACACTCATAGTGACCCCATTTGCAATAAAACTAAATGCTGCAGGCTCCCTCACCATCTTCATGGTTTTTACTATGTTGATCCCATTATTCCAGCCTCTGTGTCAGTTCTTCTTGTAGAAGGCCTTCCTCTTTTTCACTGACCCTCTGCTTTACAAAGCAGGGTGTCCTTCTCCAGGGATTAGTTTCTCCTGAAAACATGCCCAAAGTATATGAGACAGAATCTTGCCATCTTCATTTCAAAGGAGCTTTCTGACTGTATTTTTTACCAAACAGATTTGTTTATTCTTCTGTCACTCAATATTCTTCACCAGTACTGTAATTCATATGCATCAATTCCTCATCAGTCTTCCTTAGTTATTGTTTAGCTTTCTCATGCATATGAGGCAATTAAAAATACCATGGCTTGGGCCATACACACCTTAGTCCTCATAATAATAGCATTGCTTTTAAAGAGTTAAAGGAGGCTTTGTAGCAGAGGTACCAATTCTTAGAGGGTGTGTAGGTTGACCTTTATGTGCTGCCAATGTAGGCTGTGTTCTGATACTCGGCTATCTTCTTCAATTTTGCAGGAACCAACAATGGTGAAGTCCTTCCCGAATCCATCCCATCAGCTCCTGGGACACTGCCTCATTTCATAGAGGAGCCAGATGATGCTTATATAATTAAGAGCAACCCCATTGCTCTGAGGTGCAAAGCAAGGCCAGCCATGCAGATCTTCTTCAAATGCAATGGCGAATGGGTCCATCAAAATGAGCATGTTTCTGAGGAAAGTCTGGATGAGAGTTCAGGTAAGAGGGCTGTCTTAGTTATTTAGTGCAGTAGTGCGTAGTGAATTATGAATTGGGCTGCCAGCCACACCATGGGAGAAAGATGAAGCTTTCTACTCCTGTAAAGATTACAGCCTCAGAAACACTATTCAGGGTTTATATGAGTCAGAACTGACTGAACAGCACAGAGCACAGCGCCATAACAGAAATCTTACATATGAGTGGCTTTAACAAAGAGACATTTATCTTCTCACCGTTTAGGAGGCTCGGAATTGGAATTCAGAGTACTGGATCTAGGCGAAGGCTTTCTCTCTGTCAGTGTTGGAGGAAGGTTCTTTTCTCTTCAGTTTCTGCTTCCTGGTTGCTTAGAGATCTCCATGTACTGCCTTGGCATCTTTATTACTCCTTCTCTTCTCTACTTGCGTCTTTAGTCTCTTTTATAGCTCAAAAGAGATTTACTCAAAATGTACCCTACACAAATCCTGTCTCATTAACATAACAAAGAAAACACATTCCCAAATAGTGGAAATATAACATTAATGTGGGAGAGTTAAAGCAGATAGCTGGTGAAATTATTTCAATTAGTAGCATAAGTTCATAAATGGAAGAGTAAGGAGTTCTTAATAAAGTTTATGGATATTTGGGTGGTGGTAGTGAAATACCTTTCAAATGTTGCTATTAGATGCAGTCAAGTTGATTCAGACTAATAGCAGCCTTATTTACAACTGAATGAAACACTGTTCAGCCTTGTACATCGCTCAGCCTTGTACCATCCTCACAATCATTTTACGTTCGAGCCCATTGTTGCATCCTCTGTGTCAGTCAGTCTTATTGATGGATGGAATGGTAAGGAAGAATGAGGTAAAGGTAAAAAAGAATGAGGAAGTTAGGGCAATGCTAGAGAATCAGGTGAGATAGAATGAGATCTGCTTTACAATGATCCCCATAGAAATAAGACTAGATGCTTGATATAAGGAGCCCTAGTGTGCAACTGGACAGCACTTAACAACAACAACAAGTGTGCTAATGTAGGATAAGCACTGTACTGGTAACTGAAATGTTGGTAGTTCAAACCCACCATCTGCTCTCAGAAACTCTGTACAGGGTTGCTATGAGTTGGAGCTGACTCTACAGCACACGACAACAACAGCAATAACCTAATATAAGAAGTGTTGTAATAAGTAAGACAGAGCAGCTAGTTGAATGCATGACATACAAGTTGGAATAGAAATTTACTGAGATATTAAATGAATGGGGATGCAATTATTATAAACAGTTAAATTAAAGAGAATAATCTGACATTATTTATCAGAGAAGTTGAATTTGAACTTTATTTACCCTGTTTGCTGTGCCAAAATGTTGAATCAAGATCTGAGGTAACCAAGAAAGATATGACTTACATGTGGACCTTGGATAGAGCAACATCTTACTAACACAATCATCTTCGATAGTGGTGTCAGTTCTGAGTACCCAGTGTGTCATTCCACACAACAGCTGATGTAGGGATGATGGTTTGCATGCACTTGTTTTATGTTACAGAAGAAGGACCTTCATCCCATCCTGTCAGGAACCATATAGCAGTGAGGTAGGTCAGGTACTATGTGATACTCAAGCATAAGCAATAAACAGAGTAGAAAAGGAGTTTCCCTAAAAGGAAAAAGAAACTAGGACAATGGGAGGCTGTTTTCAGCCTCCATTATCAGATAATGTCCCAGGACCAAGGACTGATTAGGCGTCTCGGTGAGGGTCAGAGACTGCACAATTGACTATTTTCTCAACAAATTGCTTATGGGATTTAACAAAGATATGTAGGTCTGAAATTTTCTAGAATTCAGAGATAGGAAAGTAAATTTGGTAATTATTAGTAAAAAAAAAAAAAAAAAAAATTAAGCCATGCAGATGGATGAGCTGTCAAGAGAGAATTGTTGTTGTTGTGAAGTGCCGTCAAGTTGGTTCCGACCCATAGTGACCCTGTATAGGGTTTCTGAGGAGCAGCTGGTGACCTTGAACTGCCGACCATGCAGTTCAAATGGCTTTGCAGTCTGGCGCATTAACCCACAATGCCACACCAGGATTCCCAAGAGTGAATAGGCCATATGAAATGAAAGGAATATGGAGATACGTCTCTTTACAAGTCAGGAATGTAAGCCTCATTGTTCAGCAAAGACATAGCCAAGAAGTTTGTGATCTAAATGCAAAAGAAAAAAAAAACGTTTCAAAAGGTCTTCATGTAGTAGTCCACCTTTGTCTACAAATCAGTGAAGACGAAGACAAAGAACTAAACATTGTATATAGAAACAGTGCAGCCATTATACAGTTCTGAGCTAATTTGTGGATGCAGTATAAACCCATAGCTTCAAAAGGTAGAGGATGACCTAAAACCCTATCACAATTCCCTATACATTTCAGACTGGATCAGGTATGAAAGGGAATATTTAAAAAACAAATTTTTGGTTAAAGATACCGTTCTTCAATTTCCAAAAAAAACATGGTAAAGATTGAGTTCGAATGTGAGAGTTTAAAGGGATCTTAGTGACTAGTTTACACCCCTACTTTAAAAATGAACTGTAACTAGTTAATGGCATAGTAATTTCTAAAACTCAGATTTAGATTGCAATCAGTATGTACTTTGTTGTTAGATTCCATCAAGTCAGTTCCAACTCATAGCATCTCTATGTACAACAAAGCAAAACACTGCACGGTTCAGCGCCATCCTCACAATTGATGTTACACTTGAGCCCATTGCTGTTGCCACTGTGTCAGTCCATCATTGAGGTTCTTCCTGTCTTTGCTGACCCTATACTTTACCAAGAGGCCGTGGAACAAGAGATATCATTGCTGATATCCGATGGACCTTGGCTGAAAGCAGAGAATATCAGAAAGATGTTTACCTGTGCTTTATTGACTACACAAAGGCTTTCAATTGTGTGGATCATGACAAGCTATGGACAACGTTGCGAAGTATGAGTGTTCCAGAACCCTTAATTGTACTTCTGAGGAATCTGTACCTGGATCAAGAAGCAATTGTTCAAACAGAGCATGGGAACACTGAATGTTTTAAAATTGGGAAAGGTGTGTGACAAAGTTGTGTTCTTTCACCATACTTATTCAACCTGTATGCTGAACAAAAATACGAGAAGCTGGGTTCTATGAAGAAAAACGTGGCGTCAGGATTGGAGGAAGACTCAGTAACAACCTGCGATATGCAGATGATACAACCTTGCTTGCTGAAAGTGAAGCGGACTTGAAACATTTACTGATGAAGATCAAAGAACACAGCCTTCGGTATGGATTGCATCTTAATGTCAAGAAAACAAAAATCCTCACCACTGGACCAATAAACAACATTCTTATCAACGGAGAAAAGATTAAAGTTGTCAAGGACTTCATTCTTCTTGGATCAACTATCAACACTCTTGGAAGAAGCAGTCAAGAGATCAGACGACATGTTGCGTTAGACAAATCTGCTGCACAGGAACTTTTTAAAGTGTTGAAGAGCAAGGATGTTAGCTTGAGGTCTAAGGTGTGCCTGACCCAAGCCATGGTATTTTCAATAACCTCATATGGATGCGAAAGCTGGACAGTGAATAAGGAAGATCATAGAAGAATTGATGCCTTTGAATTGTGGTGTTGGATGAGAATACTAAAAGTGCCATGGACTGCCAAAAGAACAAATAGATCTGTTTTGGAAGAGGTGCAGCCAGAGTGTTCCTTGGAGGCCAAAATGGCTAAACTTTGTCTCTCATACTTTGGACATGTTGTCAAGAGGGAACAGTCTCTAGAGAAGGATGTCATGCTGGGTAAGATGGAGGGTCAGAGAAAGAGAGGAAGACCCCCAACAAGATGGATCAGCCAGGTGGCATCATTGATGGCGTCAAGTATGGCAGCGGTAGTGAGGTTGGCCCAGGATCGGACATTGTTTTGTTCTGTTGTGCATGGGGTTGCTATGAATTGGTTCCGACTCGATGGCACCTGACACCAACAACATACTTTATCAAGCTTGAAATCCTTTTTTAGGGACTGGTGTAGCATAGTGGTTATGAATCGGGTTGCTAATCTCAAGGTCAGCAGTTCAAAACTACTAGCAGTTCCATGGGAGAAAGATGAGGCTTTCTGCTCCCATAAAGATTTACAGCTTTGGAAACCCTATGCAGCATTGCTATGAGTCGGGACCGACTCCAAGGCACATAACAACCACCACCTCCTGATAATGTGCATCAAGTATGAGAGATAAAATCTCACAATCCTGGCTTCTAAGGTGCAATCTGTCTGTACTTTTCCCAACACAGATCTTCTGGCGGTCCATAACACTTTTGGTATTCTTCTCTAATACCATAATTCAAATGCATCAATTCTTCTACAGTCTTTCTATTCATTATCCAATTTTAACATGCATATTATATGGTTGACAATACCATGGCTTGGATCAGGTGCACCTTAGTCTCAAACTGATACCTTTGTTCTGAACACTTTGAAGAGGTCTTGTGCAGATTTGTCTAATGCAATTCATTGCTTTTTGGACTGCTGCTTCCATACGACTGATTGTGGATCCAAGCAAAAGGAAGTCTTTGACAACTTCAATCTTTCCTCCTTTTATCATGATACTGTTTATTGGTCCAGTTGAGAAGAATTTATTTTCTTTATTTTTGCATTGAGGTGCAATCCATACTGTAGGCTGTTGCAGTATTTGACTTTCATCACTAAGCTTTGTAAGTCCACTTTGCTTTTAGCAAGCAAAATTTTATCATCTACATATCATAGGCTGTTAATGAGTCTTAATCCAAACCTAGTGCCATATTTTTCTTCATTTAATTCAGTTTCTCAGATTATTTGCTCATCATACAGATTGAATGCATACAATGAAAGGATACAACCCTGGTGAACAACTTTCCTGATTTTAACCTGAATATATTGTTGTTGTTAAGTGCTATCTAGTAAGTTCTGACTCATAAGGACCCCATATAGGATTTCTGAGGAGCAGTTGATGAGTTTGAACTGCTGATCTTGCACTTCAAACCTAT